CAAGTGAAATGTTGCACCTACACAGTTAGTAAGGTGAGCATAGACACTAAACATGGAAATTTACTCGATTAACAATAACCCTATCCCAAAAGAATTCGAATGGTTGAAGGCTTTAACAGGAGATCCGTCCCACCCCGCCCCCCCTCTCCCTGCCCTTGCTCCCCACTCACACCCTCCCATGACAGACCCACGGCTCACGGCACGCGAAAACTCTGCCCTGGTCAGTGCAATGGGAACGGGCTAACACTCCAGCCGCGGGCGAAGGCTTGCGCGCACGCGCAGCGCCCCCCCCCCCCGCCTACTTTGACTAACACTTTCCCTAGGGTGCGTCCGCTCAGATGGGACCCGCGGGGGCGGCTATCATGTCCCCGGGCCCCTGATACCATAAGCATCTGCGCCCTTGTCGGCGATCGGTCCTTCCTGGGCGCGCGTTAGTAAACGAACTGGTGCAGCCATGTGCTCACCCTCGAAGCAGGTTGCCGTCGTAATAATCGCGTATGCCGCTCGTTGCCGGCACGCAGCCGCTTCGCCACGCGGCGGCCCAAGCGTTGGTGTCAAATTACATTCTCGCAGTTGCGCAATTAGCCTGACCAGGCCCGCAACCTACATCTACGCAGTACGCATCATTAAGTGTGCCGCGAAGGCTTTGGGGGGGGAAATTTTAATTTGCTGCTGAAACGGCCCAGCGTCGAAGGCGTGCATCATGCTGAATTCAAGTTATGACACTAGATCTACGTGTAATGAGTGTTGCGGGCAGTGGAGTTACGTACTATAGAGCGGCCTTAGGCGCAATCTGAATCTCTGGTTTCTAGTCCGGCGACATTGTTCACTCGTTCTCACAACTCTCGCACAGGCGCTGATTAATGTTTTTTAATTGATACATAATTCAAAGCGTTATGGCAAAGGTGACCTGACAGTCTGTAAGAAGAAAAAGCGCCGCAAGTTGGCATGTTAAGCTACTAAGGTAGCTGTCACTAGCCTAACCAGCACTCATCCGATCACTTCTCATGTTCACTGTTGTTCAATAAACTAACGGCGTATGAAAACACCTAGCCACGCTCCAAATCATCTACGACATCGACTTTTTGTCATTTATATGCGGCGAGTTTTATATTGTTTAGCGTATTTATCTTTCGTTATATTCTACGTATATATCTACGTATGCATATACTTTAATCTTCAAAACAAAGAGAAATCACAGTGACGGTGTCTGTTAAACGTAGAGATATTTGATACAGCAATAGTAGGATATCATATGGGCCTCAGGATATCATATCATCGGACGTCATATATAGTATATATAAACTTTACAGGAGTTGAATCATAGAGATATTAAATACTATATAGTTAAGATAAATATATAGGTATATATATAGTATATACACTCTATAGTCGATATATACGGTGCGACCGTGTTTAACCGGATTGCGAGAACACAAATGGGCAGGGCGACACTGCGAATCGCTTGGGCGAGCTCATACACAAAACACAACCAACACGCAGAAGAACGAGTTTAGGCCGATGACCGTCGGCAGCATCTCCGGGACAAGGTCCACATGCAAGAACCAAGCCAGCGAGGGAAAGCAAAGAGCCAGCGCCAAAGGCAATTCTTACAGGTATCGCGTCCTAACTCCCAGCCGAACCCGCTGCGTCTTAACGTAAATCTGACTAAGACCGTCCCACTAATTCATATGGACTATTCATCCAACTTATTATGCCGTTGTTATAGATATTGAAGCAACACGCGATAGGACCATTAGCTGGTAAGCTAAGCACTGGCTTGTTCATCGATTTTACGTATGACTTATCCACCGATGTCTACTATTGTGGATATATATAAATATAACACACCACACTATATACTAAGCTATAATACTATATAACTATAAGAGTATATCTGATTGGTGTGTCCTACGCTATGTACTCCTGTTTGTCATTACACAGAAGACATCCTGCAACCGCGATTATTTCGAACTGGGGATCGCTGCTGCCCGGCTGTACGGCAAGGGGTCGTGCAAAAACCCCTGAAAGAGAAAAGGTAAAGTAGGCCGCAAGGACCTTCGCCTTACTGTACAAAATCGTATTAAGGTGATGGCACCACTGAGGGAGTTAAAGAGTAAAGGTGGACATCAATGATACACGTGCTGGCATGCGCACCATGGCGTCTTCAAGGAATGGCAACTCAGCGTGTCCTGTTTGTAATGCTTTACATCTTCACATCCAGACTAGTTCCTGAGCACATTAGGATCTAAGGACAAGAAGAAAGCAGAAAATGTGTGTATTGGTGTGGTAGGGTAGATAATTAGGAGAGTGCCTGTGTGTCTAGTAGTTGGAGACGGACAAACATATAAATAGTACAGATAGTATATATATATATAGCTATATAGTATATATATATAGTAGTATATATATATATACTATATATATAAACACAAGTCAGCGCGAAATGCAATTTTTTTTACCACAGAGCAAAACGGAGCAGACGATTAACTCGAAGCTACAGACAGCGAACACAAACCGAACATGGCGCACTTCTCAGCTAAGCACAGATGGAAGATGCGACAATCCTAGCCACGGCAAAAGTGAGTGCTGCCTCTAACATTTAGTCGTGCAAAGCGGCGTGCGAACACATTGTGCGGCCGGTCGGAGATCGTGAAAATGTGTTTCAGCAGGAAACGTGCGATAGCGTGAGACCTTGTCTGGAGACGCATGAATGATTTTAAACGTGAAACGAATTTACATGGGATACAATTAGTGGAAGAGGGGTACAAAATTAATTATTGGGAGGGTGAAGTCTTACTGGTTAGGCCAATCCTTGTGTTGAATATATTTAGAGGTAGTCGTTTAGCTCGAATGACTATGAAAAGACTTGTAATTGAAGCGGCATTCTAACCTAAAAGCGCTCGTCTATGGGCTCGTCTAGTAGAAATCTCTACAGCAAATCTCCTGCATGACTACTAGACGTCCTGCAATATTGTAGGAGTCCATGCAAACAAAGGTGTAGATTGAGCCTGGTGAATATAGGTGTTGCCACATCAGCTTCAGCCATCCACTCCACAATACCCGATTGACGCGATGTCGATACGCGCACCAATATAACATGCTTTGGATCGTGGACCTTTGATCATTGGGACACGTGGAAGTGTTTCTCTCTATGTTAAACTTTTACACGTAATAGCTGTTATGAGTTGTGAAGGTTGTTTCAATCAGATCACTATTCTAGTCATCATGACAAATAGTACTGGCTCAGTCTAACATGTCAATTCCATGTGTGTCTCATCTGAGTGTATGTATGTAACGTATAAGTAGCCGACACCGGCGTGACTTTACAATTTATGAAAATGTGAGCATTGAAATGCAGGAGCTAATGAAACCAAGATAATTATAGCAAATGAACACGAGTACTCGCATATAGTGTAATGTTTTATAGTAACAGAATCTAATACGGATGTAAACATTGTATAAATAAACATTTGAAATTCGAACCAAGAGTCCTCAAGAAAATTGTTTTCTAGTCTGTGCACTGCTAATGTTGCCAGCAAATCAATAATGTCGTCCTTTCTTTACACTATGTGTCATGTTACCGTATTCTCACTTACATATTAGCTTATGCCTCTTTCGTAATATCTATTGCATTTCGCATCACACTATAGATAAATGGAAGCCAGTTTGACATGCACTAATGTTAGGAGAAATAAATAGCATTATTAATTCCACATTGCTCATCGCGAATTCAATCACTGTGCAAAGTTATTATGAGCAAGTAAGCGGCTAAAACGCTCCATTAGGAGTGTTCCAACTTTGATATCAGATTAATGATTAATGATTATATGATTGAATGATTGATAATCCTAACCCCTAACCCTAACCCTAACGCTAACTATAACATAACCGCTAACCATTAATGACAATTAAAGTGGGAAGACTCCCTAATGGAGTATCACCCAAGAAAGCTACGCAGACACTACTCAACTACTGTCAGCCAGTGGCTGGAATTTTAGCAACCACCTGCCGTTAATAATCCAATCAATACGCTCTGTAATGTATTGTTCATTATATTAACATTGCCACAATTACAGCATTGCGCTAGTTCGTTTTCCCCCTGAGAATAGACGGCGGATAGGATAGTGATAAGACAAGGAGGAATGATGGCAGGCTGCATGTCCGTTGTGTCTTGTTAGTACTTGTTTTATTTCACCAATAAATTTATTATGTGAATGACATATTATGTGAATACATCACAACGCTCCAGGTATGATCTGTTATGATCAGCTTCTCCGTCCTTTTGAAGCCTATTCTGGGTAGTGGAGCGCGTACTGCCTCTGGTGGTGAGTCTGGCAGCGAAAGGAAAGTAATCGCTGTGTTGATCATAAAGTGTTCCTTGATCGCGATTGGCATCGAGCTTGATCCGTACAACCTGGCATACCACCAACGCTTGTGGCAAACACAACTGTGCGCCTACAGGAATAGTCAGACATGCAGAATGACTATTGTTTCAGCAAGGGCACAACATACGCAGTAGCCGTAGTATTTTTCCGTGATATATTACCGCATGATAACGAAATACTATATATCCGTCAGTTTACCGTTTTCGTAGCGGGGCCCGGGAATGGAAATGCTCTTATTTATTACGGAGCTGATGCGAATCAGAAACGACACGGAGTCAGCTAACATTAAAGATTAATCGCTTACGTACTCGTGACAGGCGATGCGTCGTTATTGATTTTTAGTATTCTACAAACCGCGCAGCACGCGCCAAATGCCTTCTCTTAGTGCCTCATGAAATTCCGTGCAATCGATTACGAACAATGCGTTGGCAATAATGAATTGAAGCGCCCCTTATTGATGTCCCTGTAAGGTGTTAGCATTAATGAACAATGTTCTTGAATAGTATTTGAATGCAAATCGTCACGTTGCGAATATTCGCCACGAACTTATCGGTATGGCCGATACTGGACAGTACGCTGTCTTTCGTACGATAGAGAGAATCTAGTTCATTTCTATACATTATCATACGTTATCCATCAGTCCCCGCAGGCGACGGCTGTCTTATTTCCAGAAACCATATGTACGGAAGTTAACATATATACGTTTAATTACGACTAAAAATATCTACAACTAGCTGTGATAGGTAGCATAGTTTTAGTGATGCACAAACAGGTATGATGGCCATATAACACAGTTTTACAAAGTAGTCAACTACCATGAGCGTACTAATTTATACTTTAGTACAAGAAGTTTAATAAGGAATGTTAGCATGCAGTAGTAGCTGCTAGGCTTGAGCAAAAATGACACATCATCAACTAAGCATTCTTCATGTAATGGTTATAAGTGACAAACACATGTATACATATTCATATATTAGTATATAATACTGAGTATGAATATAGTATATAGCATCTATCTTGTTTCACTACGCGCGGATCCAACTTTGTGTGTGGAGCATGCGTAACCTATTGTGTCTCCAGAAGCGTCCTGCTGCAGGCCCTAAACGACCAGACGACGTCCCAGCAGCGCTTGGGCAGGACGGTTCTGCCGTCCGTAACTATGACAACAAATTTGATTGCCGCCGGCCGCTTGGAGCTGTTAAGAATGACTGATGCCCTATCGAGAGCTCTCCTCATGCAGGTCTGAGATCCCCCTGGAGAACGTATACAGGTTTAACAACAGAAACAAATAAGTGTTTTCCTGCGAATGGCTTCCCGGTTTGCGTGCGACAGTCGTAGCGCAACCTGTTCTAGTTTCGCGCCGAAAATGCGACGCAAATGAATTTACGTGTGCTGTCCCGAGAGGAGGAGGGGAAGGAGCCGAACGTGGCCAAAATTGTGATATCGTCATTTTATACGCGGTCGCCGAACGGGCGACAAATCGGCGATGAATCGACAGAACCACTTCGTGCGATTCGAATGCGGTATATATACCGTAGATATATATATATATATATATATATATATAGTAAATCTTGTGTGTGTGTGTGTGTGCGTGCGTGCGTGCGTGCGTGCGTGCCTTGCGTGTGTGGGTGTGCGTGTGCGTCGCGTGCGTGTCGCTCGCCCGTGCGCGTGTGTGGCTGTTCGTGTCGGCGTGCGTGCGTGCGTGCCGCTGAGTCGCGTCCTTTGCTTGCGTGTGTTCGCGTCGGGTGATATGGGTGTGTCTGTCGCCTGTCGTCGTGTGCTTGCGTGTGGTGGTGTGCCTGTCCGTTGTCGTGGTGTGTGTGCCGTCGCCGCCTGCGTGCGCGTCCGTGTGTGTGTGGTGGCGTCCCGCCGTGCGTCGCCGCGTCGCTTTTGCTTGCGTAGTGGTGCGCTCGTGCTGTATGCGGCCTGTGCTGTGTCGTGTGCTGTGTGGTGTGTGTGCTGCGTGCGCTCGCTGCGTGCCGGCTCGCGCTCTGCCCCGCTCGCTCGTCTTCGCCGTGTGCGGCGTGCGTGCGTGCTTGCTTGCGCTGTGCGCTGGTGTGTTGGGCGCGTCTGTCGCTGCTCTGCCTCGTCTCGCCTGTCGCCCTCGCTGTGTGTGTGGTGTGTGTGTGTGTGTGTGAGGTGTGTGAGTGTGTCATGGGTTTGTGTGAGTGTGTAGGGCTTTGTGTGGTGTGTGTGTGTGTGTGTGTGTGTGGTGCTGTGTGTGTGTGTGTGTGTGTGAGTGGGTGAGTGTGTGCTGTGTGTACTACCGAGCGCGAGGCCTAACCGTTGGGCAAGTGCAGTTGCGTTACGCCAGTATTTCATGTCTCCCACGGCCCCTGCTCACCTCGTTCGAGAATCGTCCGTACGTGTTCAGTTCGAACCCACCGTGTTCGTCTTGGCGAAGGATATGGCCTGAACAAGATAGATGCATATATATATATATATATATATATAGTGAAAGCTTGTGCCTTAACAGAAATCAGCTAACCAATCGCAGTGAACGGTTACTCGAATGATTCTGTGTAGCGCATAACATTCGTGATATCACAGGGGTGTATAGCATTCACACGAAAGCCAAAGGTTGCATAAGTCCGATCCGTTGCACTCAATTGCTTCGATATAATAAACGCTTAATTGTTTATTATAATCAAGAACCTTTCGCGAGTCCAACAATACAGATAGTGAGTGCTATAGACAAGACTTTTGCACGGATATGGCTGGAATATTGTTAAGGGGTGTCGTTGTTTTTTTGCTGTTTTGGGGTGATCAGCTTCTAGCAAGAACGAATGCGGAGGAAAAAGCGACCGTGCTACTGAACAGATGGGCAGGTAACCCGGAGCTGCCGGATAAAACCGGGCAGTGAAACTGAATATACCGCTTCGTATCCGTCAGCTGTATTCTCATTCAGCTTAAACATGACAAGATCACGTATACCAATATTGATAGTAAAATATAGAAGTAAAAACACACGAATACCCATGTAGATATCGAAAATGAATATAGGAAAAATGGAATGCGGTGTATTCAAGATCATCAAGCTAAATTAACAACAACAATATGTTTTTTTCGGTTATATATAACTAGCTCGTGGTTGTTGCTATAGAGTCCGATGAAGACACATACTCTCGAAAGTTCGCTAATTAAAATTTGACACCTCATTATATTTTTTTATAACTATTTTCTTATATCAGTATTGATATATCTACTATATAATAGTAGAAGGAGCCGAAGTGTCGTTTTCCGTATCTCCTCCGAAACCGTGCCACGTAGTCTCACGCGAATCGAGCTGGGGGCCCCTTCTGGACGTCCCGAATACATTCGATTTTTCGATGGTAAAGTGACTTTTTGAGGCAATTTTCTAAAAAGTTATGTGCCCGAAGAAACTTCGGCATTCATCGGAAACCCGCACCAAATTTTAAGATCGCCAAATCCGCATGCGCACACACGCACACACCAAAGCCATTGCAGCTGCGGTGTATATACAACCAAGCACTGCCGCGCACAGCTGTGAGGCGAAAATTCAAGAGAAACCACAAAGAGAGACGGCTGCAGTTGTATGTGTGTGTGTGTGTGTGTGTGTGTGTGTGTGCGTGCGTGCGTGCGTGCGTGCGTGTGTGCGTGTGCGTGTGCGTGTGTGCGTGTGCGTGTGCGTGTGCGTGTAAATGTGGTATGAGT